AACATTGTACATATTGTACATATAAACTTTGTAAAAAAAGAATGGTAGAAATCGAACAGGGGTGTGAAAGGCTTCAGGTTCGAATCTTGCAAATGTCAACACACAATTCAACATACTCATTCATATAGCAAGGACTACAGTAGAGTTTTATACTATTCGACGCTGCACATAGATGATGTAGTTATGCTAAAAGCTTCGCAACCATAAGACGATTTCGTCGCCTCTTGTTTTTTTTTTTTTTTTTCCCCGCTTACAAGAGTAATTACAGGTAGATTATGTATACCACTTATATCCCATTTCAGGCTGCAATCTTGCTATAAGTTCGACAGGCCGAAGTAGCTACAAGAAGTCATACGGACATACGCAGAATCAGGGCTGACGTTTCATTTTGGACCTCCCTGATTCGGGGGAGATTTTTCCCCCTGTATTATGAGGTCACATTTTCTACAAGGTAGCTACTCTGATAGGACAGCGTTCAACATAGTCTTACTCTGATTCGTCAGGGTTCACTGCATGAGATCAGGGTTGCTTTAAAATGCGCACTACGCTTTACACTTATACATTATGCTGGAAATTTCCTACACTATCTAGTGCACGGGCTTGTCGATGTGGGACACCTCCTCTAAATCCTTATCATCTGACAAGAAGGGGTTGTCCTCCTCCTCCTCCTCCCCCACGAGCTCCTGATCGTCGCCCAAGTCCTGTTCCACTTCATCCTCCTCCTCCTCCCCCTCATCCTCGTTCTACCCGGCTGTTCCAGCAGCCACGTCTTCACCCTCCTTCTGCGTCCCCTTCCTGCCACTCTCTACCACAGCCAGCTTCAGGCTCTTCGCAGGGCGCCTCCTCCGCATGGACCTCTAGACCTCTAGTGCTTCCGACCAGACGATCTCATACTTCAGGAGTTGATCTGCATCAACTCCCCAAGCCACGCGTTGCAGAGCGCTCCTCGCACCCACGACTTGATGACGTTTTGCCTGGAGAAACCCCTCTTGCACTCCACGGTTGAGAGGGGGAGCACAGAGAGCGCTTGCCTTAGAAGGATGAGGTTGGGCCTTCTCCTGCCAAGCACATTCAAGCACACAACAAGAACAAACGTTAATCATGCGAACTAACAATCGGAACCAGTAGTGGCCCGTGCAGAATGCTACCTCTTCGAGTCTGCATTCCCGAGAAAGTTGGTCAGCCCCTGCGAGAAGCTCTTCTGCTCGTGGAGTGTCTCCATGATCGCACAGAACGTCGGGAGCTCCCTCTCTGCTGCCTTGAGGTTGAATCCCGGCAGCTTGTTGCGGAAAAGCTTGTTGCATCCCTGCAGCCACTCACGGCACTTCTTCTCTCGCTGAGCCTTGATCTTCGGCCACTTTCCCGCCTGGAACAGCTTCGTCGGCCCCAGCTTCCCCACGTCATCCAGACAGTCATTGAGGTTGTCCACGCAATCCCGGACGAATCTGTGGCATAGCTTCACGCAATCGGCGTAGGTGCTTCCCTGCTTGTGCCCCTTGAGCTTCCTCTCATGCATGGTGTAGAGGTGGTTGATTGGGCGTCCCTCCCCGTCCACGCCTCGCACCTAGACCTGCTTGCCTCCACCCTCCTTGTGGAGCTTGAGAAAGTTGACCAACCAGCTTTTGCCCTCTCCTCCGAACAGCTTGTCGGTCGTCAAGTAACGATCTGTCAGATCCCTCGTGGTGGACTCAACGGTCTTCGCAATCTCTGTCACATCCAGCTGTCACCGTGCAGACATTGAGAACAGGATATACGGTTACCAGTAGAAAAAAAAAAAAATAGATTCATAATCACATGCCATCGCACACTGGTAAAAAAACTCACGTCACACCTCTAGAAGCAGCAGTTGAGGTCGTTCATGTCGACGAGGAAAAACAGGCAGAACTGGAACTTGTAGCGCGTCACAATCTTGTAGGCCGTGTGGTTGTGCTCCCAGAGCAGCACGATGCAAGTGCGAAGGACCTTGCATAGCCAACGAACCCCGTCCCCTCGTGACAGCCACCGAACCGTGTGGATTCCATGGACTTCAAGGTTCATGTTGTAAATCACTCGCTGCAAGTATTTGAAGCGTTGACTCTAGACGCTTGATGCCCCGAGCAGCGCAGCCACAGTGCGCACCATCTTGTCGACCATTTCAAGGTCCAGATTGGACTCAGCAGCGTCCTTCACAGCCAGAGCCTCTTTGTAGGACGCGACGCAGAGGACATAAAACAACAAGTGTGATTATAACAAAACACACGTACATGGGTATGTAAAAAAACTTGCAAACATACCAGTGGGCGATGCAGTGACAGGAAAAAGGGTGCGGGACGTGTTCCCAAAGACGCACCACCAATCCGTTACCCTTCCCCATCATGACCGACGCCCCGTCCGTGCTGATGCCAACGATCTTGGACACATCAACCGCTGAGGAGCGGAGATGGTTCAAAAGCACCTCGAACAGAGACCCTGCATCACAACTCTCAACCGTCAGCAAGGTGAAGAACTCGCATGTGACTTGCCGATTCTTCAAAAAGGTCAGGTACACAATCATGTGTTTTCCTCGCGTTCGGTCGGTGCTCTCATCGCAGCTGATACCAAGGAAGGGAGAAGATAGGATGTGGTCACACCCGCGTGAGGTAGGTACTGATGATGTGAACCATTTGCTGGAAGCCATACCTGCACATGAGTGAACCAAATGATAAGCTAACATTTTAACACAACAAACGTAACAAAGCCCCACACCGAAACAACGACATACAGTGTCAGATAGACCCTGTAGGATTGCCGCAGAATGTCGGGCGTGTCTTGCTCCGCAAGATGACGCATCAACTTTGGGGACATGCTGATCGGCGCGTCGCACTGGCACAGAAATTGAACCGACCGCATGAGTTGAGTCGCGCGCCGCCCCTCGATGTCCGTGTTGATGAAATCAGAAATCACCTGCTGCCCCTCGCGGATGCCCTGCACAATCTTCATCTGCCGGTCCACCGTCGCCATGTGAGCGTCCGTGTGCTCGTGCGCCCTAAACGACTGCGTGTGCAAGTCACGGCCTCCGTGATCACCTTGCCTGGCATACCTCGTGTTTTCCTTCCCATACGACATGTAGATTGCACTTCACATAGGGAAATCCGTCCTTGGTTTTCCCAAACACCAGCCACGAAAACTGGCGCGACCACTTCGTCTCGTAGTTAATACTCGCCTCAAGGTACATCTGCTCTCTTAGCTGCATCTTGGTGAGTGCGGGCGAGCCGTGTCCGCGCGGACAGGGATATCACCTTCCTCCGGGATCTAAGCGACATCGGGTGGTGGATCAGCCGGATTGTCAGGCGGTGGAATACGCCGGCCTCCGGCGACCAGGGTACTATGCGCCCACTTCCCAGATCGCGCTCGCTTGGGAGTGGAAGAAGCCGACGGAGGACCAAGGGACACTTTCATGGTGCTCGGAGTGGGACTAGGCGAGGGCGGTGGGGGTCCTTACTGCAAGAAGCAACAGCCGGGGGTAGAGTGAAGGCGGCGGGACGGGGAGAGTCAGATGGGGTGGAGGTTCCTCTAGCTGCAGAGTCATGAACGCTAGACCTTGGAGGATCGGGTGTTACTGGAGCACCGCTAGTTCTAAGAAAATCGAGCCCAGAGCGGGGGGCATTTGAAGCTTTCTCCGGCAGGGTAGGCTCCGTGTGTTTCGCCGGTAAAGGTGGCTCATCTGGGCCACCCTGAGGAGAAGCATCGTCTGCCGGCAGACCTTCCATGGCGGCGAGATAGAAAAGAGGTGGAGCGAGAGGCAGTGCGAGAACGAACAGACCAAATGAAATTAACAGCAGCACTACCACGAGCCTGGCTGGGGGCAGGGGGAAGAAAGATATTATTGGAGATGGCGGGGTCATCAAGAAACCTCTGCGACACCACGAATTTGATGACTCGAGTCGTCAATGAATTCGGCCTTTGATGCAAGGCCGAATAATTGAACGACTGCCTGACTGCCAGCGTTGACTGTCAAGATGCCTAACTGGCCAATGAAAGAGGCATGCTGTGCATTGTGCGGTGGGTGTGGCAGCAAAACATTATTGTCTGGTTGGGTTGTCCCTTTTGACAGCTGTGCTGTACAGCGTGGTGTTGGGTTACTTGTCCGTATTACCGTATTTACCCGGGTAATAGACCCGGGGGTCTAATCCTACCCCGGAAAAAAAAGGGGGGTGGGGCCATTAGCTGGGTGTAAATGCAATAGACCCGGGGTCTAATGCTATATGCATTTTTTTTTCAAACACCCTAGTGTTACGGCATCAAAAGCCATCACCTTCTATTGAGTCAGCGAAATTTTGACCATGCGTCTGACGCGGGTCTGACGCGGGTCTGACGCGCGACTGACGCGCGACTGACGCATGGTCAATATGCTCCAATCAACACATTTTTGCACAACTTGACCAGTTCCTCGCTACAGTTTGTCCCGAAATTGGCTAGGGGGGTCTAATATGGGATACATTTCTCGAAAGGTGGTTTATTACGAAAGTGCATATAGCATTAGACCCCCTCCCATTTAACGACCCGGGGGTCTATAATTTTGGGGGGTCCATTACCCGGGTAATTACGGTACGTCACTTCTGCGCGTGAAAGGGGTCCCTCACATGAGTGGAACTGAAATCATTATTACGCACATGGGGGGTTATCTAGACGAAGTTTCCAGGAACCTTCGTCCCGATACCGTCGCATTCAGGCGTACTCTGCATTGACAGAATCAATAAGAACACTACTCTGAGCCTTTATGCAAAATTTCAGAGTTCGCTAGAGCATTACCGGTAGTCTGACTGAATGGATCAGTGTTCACAAGTCCTAAATTCTGAAATTGCAGGGACCACCAGGTGACTAGTCTGAAATCACCCTGAAATCAGGGTAGTTACTCTGATAAAATCAGCCCAGAATCAGCATTACTACGCTGACATCTGGGGGCATGTACCGACGCTCTAAGCCTTGAAGGCTAGATAACAAAGCATGTTCTTTCTGTACAAATATTTCTTCCTATGTAGTCATGTACCGGTAGAAGATGCAGTTGCTCCCTCACTTGGCTTTAAGACAAACGTTGAGAGCAAGGGACAGCCCTTCCACACGAGCACCGCTGCGCCTTGCCTCATTTGGACTTCAAGGCCCTCGCTGCTGGTGTCCATGGCAGTTGCCATGGGTTTGAGAACATCCCCACTGATGGGCACCACATCAAAGCCCAGGCGCATGGCACGCGTGTGCCAGGCGTGCAGGTGCTCGGGGCGCATGCGGCGATGGATGCCCTCGCTGGCCACAATGTTGCTGATGCCCGCCCCCAGCACCTGCGCCTCCAGCACCCCGCGCTGTGCCTGTGACGCCGGGCAGGTGGGCGCGTGCAGGCAGTCAAACCATGCTGAGTAGTGCTCCAGGGCCTCTCGGAAGCGGCTGAGGAAGAAGGGCGAGTTGAGCCCCACCTCCTGCTCCGTCACTGTCACCAGTAGTGGCCGTAGCGCGTGGATGGCCTGCACATGTGCCACACGCCACACGCCACACGCCACAAGCCACACGCCACACGCCACATGCTACACGCCAGACGTCACATGTCACATGCCAAATGCCACACACCACACGCCACATGCCACATGCCACATGCCACATGCAACATGCACATGCCACACGAATATGCAGATGCAGCAAGATGTATATCTCAGAATGGGAGAGTGCACAGCCACAGCTGTCATCCACCCACCAAGCATTGACACGGGATATGAATGGATTGTGCAGGGGAGAAAACATAAAGAACGAATCTGGTCGCTGCCATATGTTACCGGATCACCCCAAGCACCTTTATGCACGCATCTACCTCCCCTACTGTGGAACTACAGCAGGGGAGGAAGGCGCGAGAGGGTGCACCTGAAGCAGCGAGTCGCGGGGGTTGGCTCGGATGACAGAGGCATCGCACAGCTGCTGCAGCAGCAGGGCGGCTCGCACCAGCAGCACCTCCCCCTCCTGCACGCCCAGCGCCTCGCGTGTCACCCCCTGCATGCCCACCTGCACTGCACGCACGCTCACATGCATGCCTAACCCACGTGCCACCTCCTGCACCTGCTGCACCAGCAGCGATGCAGCCTGAGTGGGGTGAGAGAGTGCGGGGGAGGGTGCAGGTGTGTGTGGCAGGTGCACAGAGGAAGGTGGATGGAGCGCAGGAGTAGGAGCAGCATAAGCAGGTGCAGGCAGCACGCAGCACTGTGGTGCTGCAGCTGCAGTGGCAGCAGCAGGGGCAGTGCTACGTGGCGTGGGAGGTGAGCCTTGAAGTGGTGGTGAGGGCTGTAGGGAATGAGTATCCGTGTGCTGTCCCTGTGCACTGCTGCAGTCATCCAACCTGCCCGCCTCACTGTGACCTGCTGCCATGCCAAGCCCATGCGTGCCAGGTGGCAATCTGCTTGCATGCACTGCAGCACCGTCTGCGCCTTGGTCGCCAGCACCAGGCAGAGCAGCAGCATCAGGGTTACTGGGTGGTGCGCGTGCAGGCAGCATGGGCTGTGCAGCCCCACCAGGCACGGGCCCCCATGCAGCATCCACTGCAGCACAGTCGGTGCCAGCGAGGCTGGGGGCCACGCCTTCAGTGTCGTGAGCCGCAGGTGGTACGGCAGCGCGGGAGGCAAGCGCGTAAACGTGTTCCGCACAGGACGTGGCAGGTGCAGCTGGTGCAGCAGCAGCAAGGCCCGCACATGCAGGTGAGTCCGTGTCAGCGCTGCTGCCGTGGTGTGAAGGCAGCAAGGGGGGTGTGCAGGGCGAGGCGGGGTGGGCATGGAGCAGGTGCACGAGAGTGAGGCGCAGTGACACGGGGCGGTGCTGCGGCGCACATGCAGTGAGCGCGGCGAGAAGGGCGTGGCAGTGCGCAGCATGGTGCTGGCCCAGGTCCACCACGTGCACTGCCAGGGGGGCACACAACGCACGTGGCGACGGCGGGTGCACGCTCGTGTGCTTCTCATTTGCATGGGATGCTGGGTCACGCACACATGCCACGCACGGATCAGTTGCTCCACCGCCCAGCTTCTCCGTGCCACACAAGCTGCTTCCTCCACGGCCCCTCGCACTGCCTTCATCCCTGAAAATACTCCCCTCCCTCTCTGTTCCCTCACCTTCCTCATCCTCACCAACAGTTTTCGCCCTTCCCTCCTCCCAACACCTCTCTGCTTCCTGCTGCTCCGCAGGTCTCTCCTCGCCCTCCTCCGTGCTGCTCCCCTGCCTCTCCTGCTCCTGCTGCAACGCCATCCCCTTCACTGTTCCTTCTCTCTCCACACGCCGCTGTCCTTCACTCACTGCCATTCCCGTTCCCACACTGTCAGCGGCAGCAGCACGGGCAGCGTGGTGGGCAGTGGAGGCGTGTGGGTGCGCATGGGGGTGTGTGAGGGCGGGCATGAGGGCGAGGTGCAGGGCATGGGTGGCGGAGCAGGAGAGGAAGTGGCGCAGGGGCGCGGCTGCGAGCACAGACGCCAGGGCGTTATCCACCTCCTGCACGCCGCACAACATGCACAGGGACAAGAAGAGGGACACGGCAGGGAGGGGCGTGGACGATGAGAAGAGGGACAAGACAGTCCGGGAAGAGAGAGACGCATGGCACAGGAGACAATGTGTGCACGAGAGGGATCCCAGTGCTCACATGTGAGGCGCGCAGCGTGCGAGGTGAGGCGGGGAGGAATGGCACGACATTGTTGGGCGTCCAGCAGCAGCATGCAGCAGCGGCCATGCCATGCAGCACAGAGTGGGGGCGGGCAAGCAGGGCGAAAGTGTGCAGTGCAGTGCACGCAGCCAGGGGGTTGGCAGACCAAGCTGCTTGTGGACGAGTGAGAGACGACGCCCTGTGCGTGCACGCACCCACCTGCAGCACGCACCCACCTGCAGCACGCACCCACCTGCAGCACGCACCCACCTGCGGCACGCACCCACCTGCGGCACGCACCCACCTGCGGCACGCACCCACCTGCGGCACGCACCCACCTGCAGCACGCACCCACCTGCGGCACGCACCCACCTGCGGCACGCACCCACCTGCGGCATGGAGGGCGTGTGCAGCAGGTGTGCGGTGGCGGTGGCTCTGGCGGAGAGAGCACGCACGAAGTAGAAGGCGGTGCGCTGCATGGGCGAGCCCACGGGGTCCACCTCCTGCCACAGGTGCTGCAGCAGGAAGCGCGCCCGCATCTGCACCCACGCAGCAACGGCAGCGCGGATGGGTAGCGGGAGGAGGGAAGAGAATTAGAAGGAGGGGGCAGGGAGATGCTGGAAACAAGGAAGGTAAGGGGCGATGAGAGCACATGTGGTGAGAGCAGGTAGGGGTGCGGGTGGCTCACATCATCATGCGTGGCAATGGCTTCAGCCAGTGAGAGCAGCTGCTTCTTCAACAGCTGCACCAGAATGCTCTCCTCTGCTGCCTCCTCTGCTGCCTCAGCTGCTGCCACCTCCCCTTGCCCTCGCACCACCTCATGCTGCTCCCTCACCTGCCCCTGCCCTCCCTGATCCACCTCACATGTCCCGCACCCTGGCGTGCCACCACACTCACCACGCCCGCCACCAGCACCCCCACCCTCCATGCCTTCCTGCGAATGATCAGCAGCAGCAGCAGCAGCGTGTGCCATGCTGCGATGCTGCATGCGAGCAATGCCACCGCCTGCAGCACACATCATCTCCCTCCCTGCGCTGCACCTCTCCACCATCCCCGCCCTTTCCTCATGACATGCCCCTTCTGCCCCTCTTTCCCCCCACCCCACGCCCTCTACCTCCACTCCCTCTCTCTCCTTGCGCTTGCCACCATGCCTATCGACCCTAACCCTCCACCCGCCATCCGCCCCTTCCCTCCACGCAGCGCCTGGATCCGCCAACCCATGTCCGGCAGCAGCCCCCCCAGGGTAGCGCTCCAGTGCGGCCAGACTTCCCTGCACTGCGCTGCTGCCGTGCAGAGGGTGCGAGAGGTACCGCGTGGCAAAGCCCCCTGCGCTGCCCACCTTCACGAGTGCGCCTCCCCCCAGCACCTGGGGCGCCACATGCCCCTCTGCCTGCCCCCACTGCTGCACCCACACGCGCTCGCTCGCCCTCGTGCCTGCCGCACCCGCCTGTCCCGTGCACTGCAGCGCCGCACCACCTGCGCCCACACAACCGCTGGGGCGTTTCTCGCCATCCACCACCACACCTGCTGTTGCACACCGCACAGGCACAGCCAGTGCGGCAGCAGTGGCAGCAGGTGCAGGCGCGTGGGGCTGTGGCGCTGCCACGCACAGCGCATCGCCAGTACGACCAACTGCCCGCTGCGCCTCCTCCCCCACTGCTGTGCCACCTCTGCTGCTGGGCGTGGCACCCGTGGTGCGGGGCAGTGCTGCATACAGGGCCGTGTGGGGCGCCGCTGCGCACGTGTGCAGTGCAGGGCGAGGCCGCGCCCTGGGGGAGAGCACCTGCGCACTGGGCTGCCTGCTGCCCGCACCTCCTCGCCCCTGCGCCTCCCCTTCTCCAACCTTTCCTTCTCCTGCTTCGCCCTTGCCTTCTCCCGGTGCTTGTACGTGGTGCCATGGGCCATCCCCGTGTGCCACCATTGCCACACCCTCGTCTCCTCGCCTCGCTGTCGAGGGAATCGCCCTCCCATGCGCCGCTCCACCCTGCACCACCCCATCTCCCTCGCACCCCTCCTCCGCGCCTTCAACTGGTTCTGCCCCTCCCCTTGCCGCGTGCACCCCCCTGCCGCCCTTTTCGCCCGCCGCGCTCGTGCGCGCCACCCCCACGGCATTGAGAATCGCCTGCGCTGGGCCAGCGCGGCAGAGGGCGGACGGAGGGGGAGCAGGCGGTGGGGGCGGAGTGGCGAGGGCGTGCAACGGCGGGTGCGAGGGCGCGGGGGAGCAACCAGCGGTAGCTGCAGCGGCGAGCGAGTGTGTGTGCGGTTGACGGGTGACTGAGGCGAGTGGGGCAGTGGGGGAGGCGAGAGGCGGTGAGGGTTGTGCGGGTGGAAGTGCGAGCGCGGTGTGGTCGACCCGGTGCGCTGGCGGGGCGACGGCGCGATGAGCGGCCGTGGAAGCGGGCGCGTGTGGCAGCAGAGGCGAGCTCGCACTACTGGGCGTGGCGTTGGGTGCGCCATGCATGGTCGTGGCGGGGAAGGCCATGGCAGGGGGGGACGATGCGAGCAGCGCGCCAAGCTGACCGCGCGGCACGGCAGCGGCGGGCCAAACGGGCGGAAGGAGCGAGGGGACGGCGGTGGACCGCACGGGGGGCAGAGATCCGGGGAAACGCGCGCTCGAAGCCGGCTCCCCGGCTGTTTCGGCGCTTCTAGCGGCGGCAAGGGCGGTCGAGGTGGAGCAGGCGATGCCATTTAAGTTGGATCCACCTCGTGAGGCAATCTGCAGCGCACCTGGCAGCGGCAGCGCTGCAGCGTCGGGCACGGCGAGCGCGTTAAGATTGAAGGCGGCTGACGGCGCCGGCGCGGAGCGCCCCATTGCCTCCGCCGCCACTGCGGCTGACGGACTCGCCGCCATCGAGGGGCGGTGGACGCCGAAAGGACCCGCCCACCTGAACTCAATCCGAACGGCGCTACGCGACGGCAGAAGCGGAGAATATACTAAGGGCGGATACCGAAAGTACGTTTATTGTTTTTCAAATAACCCTACCGGGCCATATTAAAGTTTAAATAGACTGTTCTAGACCGTACCGAGCCACGTTGAGCCGCATTCGGGCGTACTTTGGCGACACGCACTAAGCGGTGCGATAGCGTTTGAGGGATCGACCGGCAGAGAAGCGATAGTGAAGGTGCAAAAAGTTGCCACTTCCCCTGTGTTACGAGTGAATCTTATAACTAAGGGGCTTAGGAACTAACGAGAATGATGGTGTTTAGGTCAAAGGGGGGGGGTGGTACAAGCAAATGTCGAGGGAAGTTTTTAACCCCCTAACATGCAACTCACTAGAGGTCACAAGAGTATATAAATGCAAGTACAACAGTACAGCAAGCAAGAGACAAAGCTACAGCAACCAAGGGCATGCCTCAACAATTCCTAACTATACAGAGAACTTGTGGTGGTCACCAAGCACCAAGGCCTTGGTGAAGACGTCGGCAATGTTGGCCTCTGAGGGCACAAAGTCCAAGCGTGCCTGACCGCGTCGCTGCAACTCTCGGAGGAGAAAGTACCTCACATCAATGTGCTTCACTCTGCTCTCTAGTCGAGGTTCTCGACATAGGAGGATCATGGCCTTGTTGTTAGCAAACAAGGTCGGTGCAGAACGAGGCGCTCACCAAGGTCGGTGAGCAAGAAGGTCAACCAGCGAAGCTCCTGCGCAGACATGGCAACAGCGTAGATCTCTGCCTCTGCACTAGACAAAGCCACAGACGACGACCGTGTAGACCTCCACGAAACAGCTCTGGCGCCCAAGCTGAAGCAGTACCCCTGAGTGGACCTCTGTGTCTCCACGTCGTCAGCGTAGGAGGAGTCGAAGTGACAGGTCAGAACAACTGGCTGTCTCCCTCCAAGCATAAGCCCCACGCTTGATGTAGTCGCCAGGTACTTTGCCACCCTCATAGCAGCTGTCTAGTGAACAGGACGGTGTCTCCCAGTCGCAACAAAGCGAGAGTGGACGCTGAGAGGAAAGGCGAGGTCCGGACGAGTACAAGTCATCAGGTACATGAGGCAGCCCACAAGCTCTGCGTAGGGACCACTAGGCTTAAAGGGCTCGTCAGGAAAAGGGCCGGTGAGTCGGTGGTCAACGGCAAGAGGAGTGGGCTGTGTGGTGGAGTACTGAAGCTTAAACCGCTGAAGGACCTGCTGCAACATGTGTGACTGTGAGAGAGTAATGGTGCGAGCGGCTCTGTCCCTGGTGATCTGCAATCCAAGGTAGCGGCGCAACTCATTAAGGTCAGTGCACGTGTGTCTCTTCTGCAGTTTGGACTTCACCTCAGTCAGAGCGGCCCTGTCTGGAGAAAGGCAGTGGAGAAGTCGAGGGAGTGCAGCTCGTAGTCTCGTTGTGCTGCAACGTGAAGTAACACCTGAAGAGTTGTCATCGTTGGGGTCGGGGCAAAGGTCTGGAAGACAACTCTCTCACGCTAACTAAAACCTCTAGCCACATAGCGCGCCTTGAAGACATGCGGCAATAGAGGCGGCCGCTTCACCTTGAAGATCCTCATGCCGTCGACTACGTTTGTCCTGGGAGGGGGAACTGCGTCAACGTAGGTGCCTGTGGATCTCCAAGACGCCATCTCTGAGTCAATGGCTGCTTTCCACTGAGAGGCCTACTGCCCTGACACTACCTCACGGTACGTGCGAGGAGTCGGAATGTCAAGTGCGTCGGGGTCTCCCTCAGAGGAAAGCAGCATGGCACAGAGAGAGGGAGAATCAGCTGCCAAGAACTCCAGCTCAAACTGCCTGTCCTCTAGGACATCACAGCCAAGGGCAAACTCACCCCCGGCGGACAGAGGAAGGGCAGGCGGAGAAGCCACTACACGCATGGCAAAGTCAAGGCGGCGGGTGGCAGCAAAGTCAGCAACAGCGGCAGTAAGAGCCGAGACAGACGACGGAGAGGCACGAGGGTCGGTGACAAGAGAGGCGAGAACACGCGAGACAACAGGACGAGCAGCACGGTAGTAGTCAGTGATAGGGTGAGGGGAGACAGTGAGAGATGATGCAGGAGGTGGCGGGAGAACAGACACAGGCGGAGCACGACGAGGACTAGAACAAAATAAGACAGTGCGGAGGTCGTCAAAAGGAGACGAGGGACGAGCACGCGGAGGACAACGAGTGGTCTAGTCGTGCGGGAGAACAGGAGGAGGCGACTATGACTGAGGAGGAGAGAAAACAGCCGGAGCCGGGTCCGGAGGAGGAAACGTAGGACCGTACGCGGTAGGAGACTCAGAGTGGACATGAGGAGAGGAAGGAAGACGAAGGGCATGAAGGCCACTCACTGGAGGGAACAGCTACTGCAAAGGTGGCAGCTGCGGCGACTACTGCGGCTGGTGCCGCTGCTGCTGCTGCTGCTGCTAGTGCCGCCGCCGCTGCTGCTGCTGCTGCTGCTGCTGCTGCTGCTACTGCTGCTGCTGCTGCTGCTGCTACTGCTGCAATTGCTGCTGCTGCTCCTGCTGGTCCAACTACGCAGCTCCTGCCTCTCCTGCTCCAGCCGCTCCTGCTCCTTGCGCTCAACCTTGCGAAGAGCCTGGAGACATGTGTCGTATCGGTGGGGAGGCGCAGTGGGCACCGCCGTAGTCGTGCCTCCAACACTAGTCTCCTCAGTACTAGCACCTCCAGTGCCAGCGCCCCCTGCACCAGCACCCCCAGAACTAGCGCCTCCAGCTCTAACACCCCCAGGACTAGCACCTCCAGTGCCAGCACCTCCAACTCCAGCACCCCCAGAACTAGCACCTCCAGTGCCATCACCTCCAGCTCCAGCACCCCCAAAACTAGCACCTCCAGTGCCAGCACCTCCAGCTCCAGCACCCCAAGAACTAGCACCTCCAGTGCCAGCACCTCTAGCTCCAGCACCCCTCGAACGAGCACCCCCCAGACTGGGTACCTCTAGTTGTAGCACTTCCAGGTCCAACACCACCTGAGTCCACAGTAACCTGTCGCGGAAGTGCTGAAGGCTGCTGAGGGGACTGTGATGACTGCGGGGAGGGAGACGTTACCTGACGCACGACCGAGAGTAGAGGGGTAGCGTGAGACACACCTGACGGGGCAGGACCGGCGGGGGGGGGGGGGGTACCAGAGGAGCGGGGGAGCAGGAGGAGGAGAGGGTGCAAGGAAAAGAGGAGGAGGGGGGACAGGGAGGCCTCGATAGGGGTACCGGGTGTAGTAGGACACGGACTTGTCAAACCTAACGTCACGAGAGTCAAGGAAACGGTGGAGGGGCGGGTGGTAAAACGAAAAGTCAGGAGAGTCCACCGGGAAACCAAGGAAGACACAAGGGATGGCGCGAGCCGACAGGTTATCCGCAAAGATGTCGCGGACAAGCGCAAGGCAGCCCCAGACGTGAAACTCCGACGCAACACCAGGTGACCGGGTCCAAAGACTGGTCGGCGAATCCCCTAGTCGTGAGACACGAGGCCAGAGGTTCAGCTGGTGGGCGGCGTCGCGAACCGCGTAGGGCCACAGAAAATGGGGCGCATGGGCATGGATCATGGAGGTGCACGCGATCTCTATGACCAAGCCAATGTGGCGCTCAGCAACCCCATTCTACCGTGGTGACTCCGAGAAGCGTCTAGGATTGTGTGATGCCCTGCTCACCGCAGAACCCGGCAAGTACGTCGGAGCGGAACTCACCCCCATGGTTGGAGTGGAGACAACGGACACGACTACCACGAGTGCCCATAGTGGCCAGAAGCCACCGGATCATCGTAGAAGTCACCTCAGACTTCTTCGCAAGAAGAAACACCGTGGTGTACCTGGAGAAGCCGTCAATGAGTACGAAGAAGTAGCGCTCCCGCTCGGGCCCAAGACTAGGGGCAGGGCCCCAAATGTCCAAGTGGAGTGTTTGGAAGGGAGCGGTGGCTGGACTAAGGGAGGAGGAGTGAAGAGTGGCGCGCAGCCAACCCTCAACGCAAGGAGTGCACGGCGGCGCGGGCGAACGGGGGAGCGACTCAAATACCCGCGGGAGACCTAAGACAAGACACTGGCTGGCCATACTACGGAGGCGTGGGAGGGACGAGTGACCTAGACGGTGCTGCCACAAGACTGTCGAGTGAGAGAGTGACCGAGAAGAGCAAGACGCAGCAACCTGACCTGAGGCAACTACCTGACTGGGCGCGGTAACCTGACCAGACGCAGCTACCTGGTGGGGCGGAGTGTGCAGGACGAAGAGACCTAAGTGGGGCTCTCTGGTGAACGTGGCAAGAACCGCCCCAGTGGAAGCGCCCGTACAGGTCGCAGTCCTCCCGTGCGCAGGAAAAGTTACTGTGATCCCATGGTCCTGAAGGTATCGAACACCCACCAAGTTCCGAGAGAACGAGGGGACGTAGAGACCAGTGAGGACACGAGAGGGGACAGCCGGGCACGGGAGGGTGGTAGAACTACGAGCGACAGCTGGTCCTGAAGTAGGATCAGCCAGGGCAACTGGGACTGGAGTAGCAAGAGGTGTGACAGTGGTGAGTCGCGGAAGAGGCACTGGAACGCGCCAGATTCTAGCGTAAAGGAGAGTGATGCGTCAGCAGTCGTCACAGCTGCACTAGTAACTACACAAGCCCCTACACTAGAAGCACAAGCACCTATACTAGCAACAGGCAAAGGACCTAAGCTGGGTACACGTAGGTCAAAAGATCCATACGTGAAAGAATAAACAGCATCCATAGACAAATCAAACGCACTGTAACCACTACGAGACAGACAGGACCAAATCGGGGGAACCAAATCAGGCCCAAAATGCTCACGGTAGAGGTCGCCGAGGCGGCTGTAGCAGCACAGTACAGAGTGGTCAGGACGTCAGCAAGTAGTGCCAGCACGAGGGCCATTCAGGATCCGGTACTGGCAGGGTCCAACGTCGCGGCCACCACGACCACCCCTCC